GCTGTTTTTGTCTTGCAAAACAAAAGGCTTGATTTGAAATCAAAGAAAGCGTAGTTAAACGAGGATGAGAGGTAGTCTCCCGCAGAGCGAGTAGGAGAGGAGGGAGAACAGTGATCTGGTTTCCTCCTTGTACTGACTTGTAGGATTTTCAGGCTTTACGACGTGTTTCTTCATCACGTTAATGGAAGGAGATGGGGTGCTTGAAAAACACTATGTTACAGCGTGTTTGTATATTCTCACATTATGTGAAATCATTTTGCAATCCGAGGAAATCATCTGAGAACCGCTGGTCCTTAGATCAGTGTACAGTAGAAAGATGAGCCAAGGGGTTTATAGTTGGATTCAAGGTCCCCTCGTCCGAGCCAACAAGACCATTTTCTGTATTAAAAAGCAGAAGTCCCCTGTAAAAATACCTTATTCAAAGGTTGCTCCTTTTCTGTGCTAAACATACCAGCACTGTGAACTTAATTTTGACCTCCAGCATCTCTGGACTCCATTTAGCGCTCCTGTCCTGTGACTGAGGGGGGGTCTTTTCTGTACTCTGCTATATTATTCTACTCTTTGTACTGCTTAGTGTCTAGCTATAGGAGACTTTGCCAGAACACGTTGTAAGGGTACAGATGCAGGATGGTCTCTCGAGCCACTAAGTCCTCCCGTCCTTCTCTTTGCGCTCTTGTGACACGTACAGTAAGTAAATAAAAAGTCCCAATCATTTGATTTTGAAACCTCTCTTCTTTCATTACTTCTCCTCTCCTACTGTCACGTTGCATTTATTCCCTCCCAACAGTTTACCCCACTCTTCCTCTCTCCTCCTCTTTGTTTGCCGTATCGTGGTTGCATCAACAGCTGTGTCATGGTTGAACCTGAACGTGGGAAGGGAAGTCGGTATTTGGTTTCAGTGGTGATAACAGGATTTATAAACCCCCACTGGATGAGCTATTTGTGAATGCGTTGTTACCAAACAGCATCTTGAATATATTCCAACTGTCTGCTGTCTGAATGGGCCAAAACTGCTCGCCAGGGAAGTACATAACCTAACCTGAAAAAACACACACACACACATTCACAAATGCACACTAACTTGCCACATCTCATTTGAACTACAGCATCTCCATGACATTGTTTAATCTCAACAGTTAAACAGTTAAAGAGCAGTAAAACACGACAACGGGTCTATTATTGTAATTGTAGGACAAAAAATGTGTCAATTGACAGTTCGCTAAACCCCATTGCCCTCAGTTACTGTTGCTACACCTATTGTCCTTTACTGTCTAGCTTGACACATACTGTATGTAGTTTACAGTTACTGTGCAGATTTATCACTCAAATTAATAGTTCTTTTTTAAATTATGGGTCCTTGATTTCAGACAGACTTCTAATTTTTAACTTGCCTCTGTTGGCAAATTTCTGGCAAAACAGGAACTTCTTGATTTGGTCTACGACTTTTTAATGTTTCCAACCGAGTTATTTGAATTTGAAACATCATGCTCATTCTGTGCCATCTAACAATGCAGTAAAGACTGAGGCTAAAGCGAACAGAGCATCCTCATCGGATGATTCAAGTAGATGAAAGAGATAAGTGTCAGAAAAACTGCAATTCAATAAAAAAAGCACAGGACAGACCCAGTCAGGCCCAAAACTCTGATACATACTTTAGGTTAGATGCTCTGAAAGTTGGCAGCACTTCCACCATGTGTGCACTTCAGATAACAAAAAAACTCTAGTTCAGTCCCAGCCAGGTTTGGGGATTCTACATAGGAGGGGGTTGTACAGCCATGTGGCACCATCTAGTGACCTTCTGTTTTAATCACATTTATACATTCACAGAATTCACCGTCTCTGTTGATTAGAAAGGTCCTTTCTAAGTTTATTAACACTCACTGGAGAATTGAAGTGAAAATCTAGATGAAGGTATTGAATACATTTTGTAACAAATTCTTTAGGGAAAAAGACACAACCATAACAACATCTGTAGTTACAGAAAGTCCGACAGCATCAGAGCCTATTTTAAGCATAGTCAAGTTCACTTCCTTTGTCAGAGTTTGCAAGTAATCAACTTTTATCAACTTGTAGGTTGGATGTGACCTTTCAAAAGAAAAACGTGACAATAAAAGTATTATGATTGTAAATATACGAAATAAATATTACAATACACATGAGCCACTGTTGCTATGGAGAAAAAGCATGTCAGAGGTATGAATCACAGCTGTAGCAAATTAAAATGTGTTGCACTTTGGAACGAAACGCTGTGCCATTGTCTGCTGCTGAATTTATTCCTAAACATAACTTTAGCTTTAGCTCAACATTGGCTGCAACGGCTCACAAAATAATTTGAAGTTTGTGATGGTGACGTTTTGTACCAAAATGCACCTCAGAAGTTATAGCTAATTTCTCTCCTTGTGTTTTTATTTATTTACAGAAGCTTGTATGGTTTTTATCAAAGAACCAGATATTTTCTAACACAGTCGCTCATATTTTGCACTGATGGTTTAACCTAGCAAGTTTCATGCCCATCCAAACCTTTGAAGTGCCCCGAATGCCACGTCACCTAAAACATTGTCTGTGTAGGAAACAGAAGGGGGCTTTTACACCCGAAGCACGTCTCCATATAAACTTCAATCATTGGGTGTATTTTGAACTGGAGCTGATGTTTGGCATAGGTCCTCGTGTTGTTGTTCTTTCAAGAGTTCGGGATTAGCATTAAAGCAAATGTAAAATGGGGGAGGGGGGGATTGGTTGAACACAGAGCCTTTCTGTCGCTTGCCTTGTTATTATTTGATAAGCCACAAATAAGTAATTCTATGTTTTATGGTTTTCCTAACCTCAATTCTGGACATGTTTTTGCAGGTGTAGTATTACTAACAGCATCCATCCATCAGTCGGCACAATAATGGACCATGCATAACACAGCACTGTGCACTCATACAGACTGCTGTACTAACTTTGACATTATCAGAACTACATAGATGTTCAAGTGATGTAAACGTGGTGTAAAATGTTCTGACAAATATATATAAATATATATAAAAGTAATGCATGTGTATATATATATATATATATACACATATATATGTGTGTGTGTGTCTGCTTGCTCTGACCTGTGGAAGAGAAATCTGACCCTCAGCTATGAGGTGGTTGTTCTGTCCTCTCAAGTCAGAACTGTTTTGGCCTCACTGGTCGAGTGGGGCGCTGCTTTGTTCTGTCCGGCCTGAGTTCTGATGGACAGGTTCAAGGAGCAGCCCTTAAAATCCAGACTGGCGAGAAAACATCTCTCTTTCATATTCAGATTTTTTTCCCTCCTATTGACTTTTTCTCTGAGGCCTGTGGGAGGCGAAGAAGAAGGCTTGGTGACACCTTGTCAGCTCTATTGCTTTCACATTCAAAGATAGACGCTTGGTCCACATTCAATGAAGACCAAGAGAACATGATAAAGAATCAAGCCTAAATTGAACCACTGCAAGGGATGATTAAACCAGCAGAAAACACATCAGTGAAACACATCAGTGACCTGACAGCTAAGAGATAAATGGACCACTTTGACTCATTCAAATAGCTTGTTACGGAATTTTGTGTGAAAGGATCAGAGCAGACAGGTGGTCAACTTCATGAAAGATAACTCTTTCATTACTGCTCAAACACAACAACAACAAAAGGAATGTTAGAAATTCTTAACCTTCATACGAGGGTTTTGATGTCAGGGCCAGAAGATATGTGCAAAATGTGAATCGACAACATGCCAAAACATTCTGGAGGAAAATTACATTTTCAAAACAAGGTTGGAGAAATAACCTCTTGATCTTAACTATGTTTTGATGTTTCACCATTTTCCCTCCATAGTATTGTGAGAGACAGGCAATTTATCAGCATTCCTTTCATGGTTTCTTTTTCATCGAGCCAGGGGAGTTTGTCTCGGTGTTCTGGTCTGAGAGCAAGTAACAATATTAGAAATACTCAAGCAGAATGTCAACACCAACACACTCAGTTTGACCTATGACATCGGGGACAGCTACACTACCGTTGGTCATGCAGAAACTGAACAAGCTATATAGCTACTAAATACATAATAACTCAAACTATACAAAGAGATGCTGTTGCTCTCGCACAAACAGCAATTTCTCTTCCACTCAATCATTATCTTATCACCTTTATTTTGTGGTCGGCAGCTGGTAGTCCTAACCGTGGAACAAATGTTCATATTAAAAGTGATGTGTGGTTAAAATTGGAGTGCCTGCACTACAAAAAGTACAGCATTGTCTGCAACACATTCATGCTTTTAACCTGCGCCAACCTTTCTCATGTGTGATGTCTCAATTATCTTAAGCTTGTAAACCAAAGACTGCAATCTATGTTCAGCCAGCCTCCATCCATGCTGACTTCACACTTTATTACAATAACACTTTCTTCGTGGTCCTTTAACATTTTTTTTGTATTCACGAATGACACTGAGTTTGGTGAAACCGCTGCAGGGCAAACTGTGTACGTGACTCCACGAGGAACGTGCATGCGTGCACGGGCCAAGGTCAAAATCAATTCTAAGGAGGATCCAGTGGGGGTCACTGTTGTGCGCGAGCTCGCTGAGCCGCCCGTGTCAATTCAGGCCAGTTTGTCTCACCGACACACGAGCTGTATCAGCTGACCTCAGACTAACCTTTTTCTGGATCCAGATGCGAGTGTGTTTTATGTGTGTGTGTGTGTGTGTGTGTGTGTGTGTGTGTGATGAAAGACGGAGATGTATGCAGCCCCCCTGCAGACCAGCTCCCACTTAAGAAAGCATTGCAGCAACTCCTCACCTAGCATCGCATCATGCATATAGAGAGACAGAGGGGAGAGAAAGAGGGGTGGGCGGGGTGAAAGAGAGGGGGTGGGACCTTAGGGGTAACCAACGCCCCCTCTGATACTGTAATATTCAATTAGCTCCCAGCGAAGAGGCAGGCGGGCATCAGCACGGGGGACAAGTTGACGGCAACAAGGCGCCGTTCATTCATTTATGCGCAGCAGGCATGCTACATGGAGCCACGAGCGCCGTTCCTGCCGTCTGGAAGCGGAGTTGGTTCACTTTCCTCAGCCCGTGTCTCAACTTTTCGCGGCAGCAGCCGCCATGGATCCGCTGTGGACGGACACCGGCGCTCCGGTACGGCATGCAAATACGTACTCTGACGTCGGCGATCATGTGGCTTTTGGCGTAGATCCTCCTTGTGATCGCCAATGTTCTCTTTCCTGTCGCCTGTTGTCTGCTCGGTTACCGGACCGCCGCGAGAGTGTTTAACACCGGTCCGTCTCATTTTTGTTGTTTTCGCAGTCGCTTTGGGATTGTACCGCGCCACCTGAGCATCGCGCCAAAACGGCGGGCAGGTAAGAAAATGGATCAACTCTTGCTCTTGTTTTTCTAACGCCCCCCTCTCCACCCTTAAAAGTCCCTCAAGTTAAAACTGCATGTAGTTGTTTTTTGTGCCCCTCTCTTGGCTCACGCTGCCTCTGCGTGTCTCCCAAACACCCGCACGCCTCTGTATAAATATTTTAACTTGTCTATCCGCGTGAACTTTGCCTGGCTCTGCCGTTCACACCTGCGTGCTGAGACAATGTGTCCGCCAAGTTGTTAATTGGACGTTTTCTCCCCCCGGTGTTTAAGTTTCACTTTGATACGTCGAGGCCGTGGTGGTAGACGGCGGAGCGGAGATACATCGTGTCTACTTTTCCTCCTCCCCGTGTCGACATAACCAGCAAAACATGGCCGTCCTTTGCCGACATGTTGTTACGTCGATGGCGAGAAGGGGGGAACATTTGGGGAGAGTGGGTTTTTCCTGCGCCCCACTGTCACATCTCGGGTTGGCCGGTAGAAACGGCCGTTATTAAACTCCGCACCACGGCCGGGTGTAGCCCGCTCGCATTTAGCGGTACTGAGGTTCGGGTCGCAACTTTTGGGAGTCCGACGTTGTTTATAGACTTTGATTTGTGCGACTCTGTGATGTAGGCGTAACGTTACCTCTGGTGATGCCTCCTCCCCTCCGAGACCACGGCTTTTACTGCATGCAGACGGATAGACACACCGTAGCATAGGAGCGGACTTGTATCCTGCCGGTGCAGCAGGCGCGTTACTGCTGTATAAAGGGCTGTTTTTATTCAGAATAACAACTTTAATAATGAACGCAGTGTCAACCAGAGGAAAACGTGTCCTCAGTGCAACCCTTTTAAAGGGAAAGTGGTAGTTTGATTTATTGCATTGTTATGCATCCTACATGTTGTCCTGCACTGTGATTTATGAACACAAACATACATATTTATATAGAGGATCAAACCTATCCCATGCCAGCATTTTACACACAGTCGTGACATACTTTAAACAGGGAAGGTCTGCTTGCTTTTTGTAGGCCAGTGTATATCATCCCTCGCCTTGTCTTCTAGTTTCTTCCATCACTGTGTCATGCAACGATACATATCACATGCACTACTCTGTCATTAAGGTTTATTATTGGGGGATAACGCCGTAAAGTTTCTTCAAAGTCACAGTAAACTTTACAATATGTTGGGAGTTGCAAGTCTCCATCAGACCCGAGTGCATTCTATTCAAGCCCCACGCAAGTTGTCTTATTGCTTTTTGGAGATTTTACATAATTTTGGCAGCATTAACGCCCACAGTAGACTTAAATACCATCAACAGGCCGTCGTCCACTGGATGCCTGAATACCCAGGATTGGTATGGGTGCTGACACGGTCCATATCAAGTGACCTGGGCGTGACTACACCCATCCACATCAAATACATTTTATCTGTGACACAATCATACATTTCACTGAATTTCAGTTCTGTATTGCATACTATGGACATACTAATGGTTTGATTTGAGTCTGTCCCAAACAACGTCTACGTGAGTATTGGTGTCTACGACCATTACAAGAAGACAGACAGTCCGGCTCCCAGAGAAGGATACTATATATCGACTCTGACGGCACTAGGTTGAGATTAAAGTAGCATTTCATATCTTGCATCTTGGTTGTGATAAACAGTCCGTGACACAGATTTACTGTGCTGTAATTCAGTGCACCTGTTAAGCAGTGCACAGTTTCAGACCTCTGACAGGTCTACACACTCGGCCCCTACAGGTGGGCAAGTTAATGGAAAATAACTTGGTGTCTGTTATGAATGCTGCTTTTCTAAGTAAAGCTGTCACCCAGACTATTCACGTTCTTACTGTGTGTCTGATGAAGTACGTTCAATAGACGACATCCCCCTCATACTGGGACCTACTATGTTGCATTTCTAAACATTCCTTGATCAACAGCCCAATCCGTAAAAGATGCAAGTGTTTTTGATCGCCCCCCCGTCATACCCGTTACCGGCAATTCCTCTGGGTATAAACTTGGCTTCGCTTGCTAAGCCATGCACCTCTTGCTCTCTCCGTGTGAGTAGACATGTGGCTCATGTTTGTTCTTCACATGGCTTCCACGTGTGATCTGTCAAATCACAGATAATTTAGAATGACAGCCGGCCCGTTTTTATTGGTGGCTGAACAATCAAACGGTGTCTGTTGATAAAAGTAACCCGTCATATTTCAGATCTCACACACAGTTGCTTAGCGTATTGTGTAGCCAAGCTTTTTTGTAGAATGACGTCGGGAATACAGCCATAAATAGGTGTATACAAAATTAATATATTCAATTAATCCACCTAAATAAAATGAAACTTTGTTTATTTGCTTGCCCCAAACAAGTTGACTGTCACCAGGTCAGTACTACAATATAGGTTATAGAATAATGATTTAAAATCCCTGTTGTTGTCCAGTGTTGGGTATATAGGACATTACTGAATTGTTTTTACAGTTTGACAGATGCAAGATTAAGGCGTTGTTTAAAAAAAAAAATTGGGAAATTGTTATTCTCAGTATTGCTCAAGGGATTAGAGAAATGCACAGATGTCCCCACACTACCTTGTTGTCCATAACATCAGTGATTGTCCCATCATCACTGCACTGTGACAGCAGCAGCACATTTCAGTCACGAGAGATTTACTCAAAAGCCTAAAATCATTTGGTTTGTTTACAGTAAGGAATTTGGCAGCTATTATTTTGGAAGAAGTGGCATGAACGATAAATTACTGTCATTGAATCGCCTATTTTTCCCGCCTTGCTCAACCTTGCGGGGTTTCTCAATGTACCGTGACCTCGTAGAATGTCACAGCCAAAACATCCAGCTGTGAGGCGATCCGCTGTATTTGTTCCTAGAGGCGCTTATTCGTTTACTGTACTCAGATGGTGGGAAATGAACAAGACTCAGTCGGTGAGATTCATTTAAATAGAAACCATTGGTATGGGCTGACGGCAAGGAAAGTGCACTACAGTCAAATATTCTTACAAATGATGTGTGAGATCTGATTCCTGACAGTCATCTCACCGGCGCTAGATGTTGCATGTGTCAATCACAATAGCAAGAGCCATTAACATTATCTGGAACTAACCTGAGGCAGAAGATTGACAGTAAAACAATGATACGCTATGTTTGTTTTCGGTAGATTTAACTGGGCAGGTGGCAGGCAGTCCTGTTCCAGTGATGTGTGAGAAACTGTGTGTGTGTGTGTGTGTGTGTGTGTGTGTGTGTGTGTGTGTGTGTGTGTGTGTGTGTGTGTGTGTGTGTGTGTGTGTGTGTGTGTGTGTGTGTGTGTGTGTGTGTGTGCTGCTTAAGTTCTAGCTGTCCCGTGTTTGAGCCGGGAGCTCAACTACAGCTGACAAATATCAGTATTTACCTACAGCCAAATACGAAGTTCATCTGTGTCTACAAAACAAGACCAATTTTCTGTAGTTCACATTAACAATCATTTTCATTATACTAGTCAATCGTTCTTATGTGTCATTATATTATATGAGTGATGATTGTTATGTAGTTTTCCCTTTTCGGTAACCATGAGGGACTGCTGGTAGGTGACATCTCACGATTAAAGCTGAAGATATCAGATAACGTCCAAGTTGATCCAGCTCCCAGTCCCCTCCTTCAGCTGCTGAGCTAACGTTGCGTTAGCCAATGTTTTAGTTTCAGAGACTGAAAGGACAAGCTGCTGCTCAGCTCTGAATGCCCAAAGACTCCTGTTTAAAGTGATAGAAATATTAATGTGAAGGTCAACTGAGGGATTCCAATTATTATTTTCTATCCAGCGTTAGCAGTCCATCACTGACCGACAGCTATATAGCTAGACTACACAGCATTAGTAAAGCTATGCTAACGATTGTTTATGCACGAACAGACTCACTTTCTTTGTAAAAGAGCAGAAACGGTGCTTACGGTGCAGGTCAATCACCAACTCTGGTTGCTTTCTACAGGCGCTTGTCATTCATAGTTTAAATTATGTAATATAAGCTGCAAAGAGTTAGTGTTAGGAAATTATACAGATCATAATCTTCCTGATGTCTTGTTTATGTGCTGTGAAAAAAAAAAAATCTCTTTCAAACAACTAAATTATTCAAGTTTCTTTTCAAAAAAACTAAATTTACTAGATTCAATTTGATTACCTCATGCGTTTATAATCTATTTCCCCCCAATCTTTTTACTAAATAGTGCTTGAACGCATCATAATATAACTAAATGCAATCTCGGCTAACGTTAGCTTTAGCGCCGTTATTGTCGCCTGTGCTGCTCACCGGCTGCTAACCGCTAACATCTAATGTTAACTAGCGCTCCAGCTGATTCCAACACAAAACATAAATGCCAATCTACAGATCGCATATTTTACTGAATATCTTGGGAACCGACTTCTCTAATAAAGATCACATTTATTTTTCCCTTAACCAATCAGACAACTGCATGAGGCAATGCACTTGCCTGAACACAGAGTTTACCAGCCCCGGGCAAGCAGGCTGGTGATAAATGTCGAGCCCCGAGAGGTCCTATATTTTTGCATTTGTCTTGAGCCCAGACCTCCTTATTGTCATGATGTGTGGCTGTTATTTTTTAGAGCCGTGCCAGCAGACCTATGGTGGGTTTCAACCAGTTTAGTTTTTTTCATCAGGAACATCCAGCATTTCCTGACCTCTCGCATCACACGTCCACATCCGATCCCGAGCTCTATAATGGCTGTCCGTTCTCTTTGTGAGACACTGGAATGAGTCATCGTGGGTTGGAGGATGGAGGTTGTTGTCATCATGGCCTGTCGTGCTCAGCTGGGCTCTGTGATGACATCACCGACATATACGCTGCGCTCTGTTCCAGTGTTTTCAGTTCAGGTCCTCTCTCTCCCCCTCTCCCTCCCTCTCCGCTGTGCCGCCACCAGCTTCTCAGACGTGTTGTTAGGTGACTAAGGCAACCACAGAGATGAGCTCATCACCTGGAGGTGTGTGACGGATGGAAGGATGCAATTAGAGAGGCAGA